GATGGCGAGTGAATATGGATAGTTGGAAAAATGGAGAATTTCTTGTGAATCTGACTTGCACAATTTGGCTGAATTGTTCTAAATTTCTATTATATATGTTACGTTGCAAGCCAAAGATCGTGGAATAAGTAAATTTTTTACTCAACCACCAACCAATTTTAAAGATGGTGTGTCGTGGGTTTAAGTCATTGGAGCTAGCCATGAAGGATGTTCCGATTAAGTTAAGTTATTTGAGATTAATGTGATTATCACATTATATACACACCCGTACATGCAGGCTTACGTGTCAACCAAAAAAGGCAATAAAAATTAACACCAACAAATGAATTATTGAGCTCAAACAACATTTCCCAACAAGTACCCAATACCATATGTATTTTATCCAATACCTTAAATAGAATTGTCATTAAATCGAAAGAGCCAATACACAAAGTTTAGGGGTAACATCCACACTGAGTTTACATCATCACCGAGGAATATTCAAACCCAAAACCAACAACCAAAGAGGCCAAAAATAACAAAATTGGCCACGCTACAAAAACATCCTTAAATACAAAGTCATCTAAATAAAAACTACAAAAACATATGTAAAACAACAAATCCTCCAACAAACGAGATGCTCCTACAAAAACATCCAACAAAGACAAAAGAAAACAGTAACACAAACATCAACAGAGACAAGAAAGTAGTGGTAAAGTAGTACCACTCGCATCCACAGTACCAAACACACCACAATTTTCAAAGTACCAAATACACTATAATTGGCAATAACAATACATAACATTACATTGTTTAAAGCCTCGGAAAATGGCACTACTTCAACACAGGCTCACTATGAGCATAAATTGCTAATGCCATTTTCTTTCAAAAGTTCGAGCAAAAACCTCCTCAATACAACAATATTTTCAAAGTATAAACTCTTCATTTTGATTTTTTTATTAACTTGTATCATATTCCACATGCGCACATGTCAAAACTCAACTTCTAAATTAGGTATTTGTTTCAAATTCATAAAAATCTTAATGCAAGGAAAGATAGCATTAACTATCCTGAACCAAGAAAGAATTTGAAGATATACATCTAATATGCAATTGAATTTATATAAGCTCCCCCTTATGGAAAAGAAAGAAAAGATGTACATGCTTTAGATACCTCAAACAAGACTCAGACTCGGTGAAAAAGAAAGCAAAACTGAAGACCTTCCATATAAACAAATGTCGTTCGATTTGCAAAACTGAAGGATGTAGCAATTTACACTCTCATATTTGTAGGAAAATAACAATGTTGTTGAATAATTCTTTTGAAAAAAAAAAATACACGAAACTAAGTTGCTGGAGACCTCTAATCTCCACAAAAACTATAAACAAAAGGAGTCACACACAAGGAAAACAAGTAAATAAAAGAAAAATGAAAAGGAGAATACGTACAGGCAGGGAGGCACTGGTGGAGGCTGAACCGTCAAGTCAAACACCAATCCAAGACGGTGATTACGGGCGGATTTTTCTCCTCTAACCGATCAGAGTACGGGCTTGACAGGAGTGAGTTTGGAGAGATTTTTGGAGTAACGGCTTTTTTTGTCTTGATAGTGAAGAGGAGTCTTAAACATACGAGAGATACTCTGCTGTTTTGGCTTGCTTGCAGGTGTCTTTCCAGCCAGTTTTGCTGGGTGAGGTGTGGCAACATGACCACCAGCCTTTTTTACCATATGAAGAGACAATAAAAATACTTCACAAATATTCTAAACAACGGAGACTACACTACACATGAAGCTAGACTAGTAATAATAAATTTAAAAGAGAATTACCATTTTTTTTTTGCGGAGTTCTTTTGCCTTCTTGCTTTGCACGGACGTTTTTGTAGCAGATTCTGATGGTCGCTTCTTGCTTGGCTCAGAGGGGAAAGCGTAATAAGTTATTTATACAAATGTGTTACTCATAATAATAATGATAATAAAGAACATATGAGACATTTAATTGAGGTGCATATTACCTTCTTTGGTGTCTACTCATCACTTTCAGCAGATTCATAAGAATCATTGATTCATTTACATCCTACAGTTATTAAAGTTTAGCAATTAGTCAAATATTAATACTACAACCAACGCGTGATACTTAAAGCACCTAACTTTTAAATTCCACAATTCATGTCAGACAATCACACGATTGTAAACATTTATAAATCGAAACATAAAATAAGTACAAAGATACACAATTGTAAATATTTATAAAAACTTAGTGGTATTAAGACAATTTTGAAAGATGTTGATTTAGTTTCTTAGTTTTCGTCTCTTTTGTTTTCGAAGAATACATCGGCTGAGATAAATTCCCTCAAGGATGAAATCAAAAAACTCAAATCAATGCAAACAACAACAACAACATACTCAGTATATTCCCAACTGGTTGGGGTCTGGGTGGGGTCTGGGGGTCAGTTGTACGCAGATCTTACCCTTGTACTTATACAAGGAGGTAGTTTCCGTAGCGACCCAAGGTGCATTGCGTCGTTTGATATATTTTTTTTTCTAGAAACTTCACTAATAGAAGAAGCACTAGAATTTAATTGAGCCATTTTGATCTAGTCC